GTCTAGTCTGACTTGGCTCCATCGTTGGCTCTGCAGAGAGAGGCCTACCTACTCGCCTGACACGATAGTCTAGACTAGTTTAGTCTGCCTTGGCTCCGTCGTTGGCTCTGCAGGGAGAGGCCTACCTACAAACCTGACACTCTAGTCTAGTCTGTCTTGGCTCCCTGATTGGCTCTGCAGAGAGAGGCCTACCTACAAACCTGACACTCTAGTCTAGTCTGACTTGGCTCCATCGTTGGCTCTGCAGGGAGAGGCCTACCTACTCGCCTGACACTATAGACTAGACTAGTTTAGTCTGTCTTGGCTCTGTCGTTGGCTCTGCAGAGAGAGGCCTACCTACAAACCTGACACTCTAGTCTAGTCTGTCTTGGCTCCGTCGTTGGCTCTGCAGAGAGAGGCCTACCTACTCGCCTGACACTATAGTCTAGACTAGTTTAGTCTATCTTGGCTCTGTCGTAGGCTCTGCAGAGAGAGGACTACCTATATACCTGACACTCTAGTCTAGTCTGACTTGGCTCCATCATTAGCTCTGCAGGGAGAGGCCTACCTACAAACCTGACACTCTAGTCTAGTCTTACTTGGCTCCATCGTTGCCTCTGCAGGGAGAGGCCTACCTACAAACCTGACACTCTAGTCTAGTCTGTCTTGGCTCCGTCGTTGGCTCTGCAGGGAGAGGCCTACCTACAAACCTGACACTCTAGTCTAGTCTGCCTTGATTCCGTCGTTGGCTCTGCACGGAGAGGCCTACCTACAAACCTGATACTCTAGTCTAGTCTGTCTTGGCTCCGTCGTTGGCTCTGCAGGGAGAGGCCTACCTACAAACCTGACACTATAGTCTAGACTAGTCTAGTCTGTCTTGGCTCCGTCGTTGGCTCTGCAGGGAGAGGCCTACCTACAAACCTAACGATGCAGACTAGACTAGAGTGTCAGGCGTGTAGGTAGGCCTCTCCCTTCGGAGCCAAGGACGGAGCCAAGGCAGACTAGACTAGAGTATCAGGTTTGTAGGTAGGCCTCTCCCTGCAGAGCCAACGATGGAGCCAAGTCAAACTAGACTAGAGTGTCGGCTCTGCAGGGAGAGGCCTACCTACAAACCTAACGATGGAGCCAAGGCAGACTAGACTATAGTGTCAGGCGTGTAGGTAGGCCTCTCTCTGCAGAGCCAACACGGAGCCAAGGCAGACTAGACTAGTCTAGACTATAGTGTCAGGTTTGTAGGTAGGCCTCTCCCTGCAGAGCCAACGACGGAGCCAAGACAGACTAAACTAGTCTAGACTATCGTGTCAGGCGAGTAGGTAGGCCTCTCTCTGCAGAGCCAACGACGGAGCCAAGGCAGACTAGACTAGAGTGTCAGGTTTGTAGGTAGGCCTCTCCCTGCAGAGCCAACGACGGAGCCAAGGCAGACTAAACTAGTCTAGACTATATAGTCAGGTTTGTAGGTAGGCCTCTCCCTGCAGAGGCAACGATGGAGCCAAGTCAGACTAGACTACAGTATCAGGTTTGTAGGTAGGCCTCTCCCTGCACAGCCAACGATGGAGCCAAGTCAGACTAGACTAGAGTGTCAGGTTTGTAGGTAGGCCTCTCCCTGCAGAGCCAACGCCGGAGCCAAGACAGACTAAACTAGACTATAGTGTCAGGTTTGTAGGTAGGCCTCTCTCTGCAGAGCCAACGACGGAGCCAAGACAGACTAAACTAGTCTAGAGTATATTGTCAGGTTTGTAGGTAGGCCTCTCTCTGCAGAGCCAACGATGGAACCAAGTCAGACTAGACTAGAGTGTCAGGTTTGTAGGTAGGCCTCTCCCTGCAGAGCCAACGATGGAGCCAAGTCAGACTAGACTAGAGTGTCAGGTTTGTAGGTAGGCCTCTCCCTGCAGAGCCAAAGACGGAGCCAAGTCAGACTAGACTAGAGTATCAGGTTTGTAGGTAGGCCTCTCCCTGCAGAGCCAACGAGGGAGAGGCCTACCTACTAACCTGACACTCCAGTCTACTGTAGTCTACTGTCAAGTTGGTAGGCTGGCCTCTCTCTACAGAGTTGGCCTGTGCTCCATGGCTGGTTCTGCAAGGAGAGGCCTATCTACCAACCCAATACTCTACTCTACTCCAGTATTCCTTAGATCCGTGGTTTACTCTGCAATGAGAGGCCTACCTACCAACCTGACACTTAAGTCCAGTTTACTGTGGTCTCCTCTAAACTATTAGTCTAGTTTGCCTTGCTCCCTCTTTGGTTCTGCAGGGAGTGGCCTACCTACCAACCTCATACTCTAGTCTAGTGTAGTCTATTCTACTCTTTCCTGGCTCCATCATTATGTTTGTAGGTAGGCCTCTCCCTGCAGAGCCAGCGACGGAATCAAGGCAGACTAGACTAGTCTAGACTATAGTGTCAGGTTTGTAGGTAGGCCTCTCCTTGCAGAGCCAACGATGGAGCCAAGACAGACTAAACTAGTCTAGACTATCGTGTCAGGTTTGTAGGTAGGCCTCTCCCTGCAGAGCCAACGACGGAGCCAAGACAGACTAAACTAGTCTAGACTAGAGTGTCAGGTTTGTAGGTAGACCTCTCCTTGCAGAGGCAATGATGGAGCCAAGTCAGACTAAACTAGTCTAGACTAGAGTGTCAGGTTTGTAGGTAGGCCTCCCTCTGCAGAGCCAACGACGAAATCAAGGCAGACTACACTAGTCTAGACTATTGTGTCAGGTTTGTAGGTAGGCTTCTCCCTGCAGAGCCAACGTCGGAATCAAGGCAGACTAGACTAGAGTATTAGGTTTGTAGGTAGGCCTCTCCCTGCAGTGCCAACGACGGAATCAAGGCAGACCAGACTAGAGTATCAGGTTTGTAGGTAGGCCTCTCCCTGCAGAGCTAATGATGGAGCCAAGACAGACTGAACTAGTCTAGACTATATTGTCAGGTTTGTAGGTAGGCCTCTCCCTGCAGAGACAACGACGGAGCCAAGACAGACTAAACTAGTCTATAGTCTCAGGCGAGTAGGTAGGACTCTCCCTGCAGAGCCAACGACGGAATCAAGGCAGACCAGGCTAGAGTGTCAGGTTTGTGGGTAGGCCTCTCCCTGCAGAGCCAACGACAGAGCCAAGACAGATTAGACTAGAGTATCAGGTTTGTAGGTAGGCCTCTCCGTGCAGAGCCAACGACGGAATCAAGGCAGACTAGACTAGTCTAGACTACATTGTCAGGTTTGTAGGTAGGCTTCTCCCTGCAGAGCCAACGACGGAATCAAGGCAGACTAGACTAGAGTATCAGGTTTGTAGGTAGGCCTCTTTCTGCAGAACCAATGATGGAGCCAAGATAGACTAGACTAGAGTATCAGATTGGTAGGTAGGCCTGTCCCTGCAGAGCCAACGAGGGAGAGGCCTACCTACAAACCTGACACTCTAGCCTACTCTATCTTGACTCCGTTGTAAGGTTGGTAGGTAGGCATCTCCCTGCAGAGCCAATAACGGAGCCAAGGCTGACTAGACTAGAATACATTAGAGTAGACCTCAGGACACTTGTCTGTAGTGTCAGGTTGGTAGGTAGGCCTCTCCCTGCAGAGCCAATGACGGAGCCAAGACGGAGCCTACACAGACTATACTAGATTTCGTTGAGACAACTAGAGTCTCAGGTTCGTACAGAGGTCTCACTCCCCCGGAACAGCCACGGAGTCAAAGCTGACTAGAATAGACTAGAGTGTCAGGTTGGTAGGTAGGCCTCTTTGTGAAGAGCCAATTAGAGAGCCAAGGCAGACTAGACCAGAATACATTAGTGTAGACTAGACTTACATGTCACGTAGGTAGAAAGGCCTCTCTATGTAGAGCAAACGACAGAGCCCAGGCATAGTAGACCAGAATACATTAGGGTAGACCACAGTAGACTATACTTGTGTATCAGGTTGGTAGGTAGGCCTCTCCCTGCAGTCCCAACGATGGAGCCAAGACAGACTATCCTAAAGCAGACAGACTAGAGTGTTATGGTGGTACGTAGGACTCCCTGCAGAGACGATACAGCCAAGGCAGACTAGACCAGTCTACCGTAGGCTACAGTCTGCTAGCCTGGAGTGTGAGTGAGGTTGTGATAGCCGTCTTCAGTGAGAAGCTCAATGGACTCCATGAACACTGCCCTTTCCTCCTACACCCACATCATCGGTTTTCCCTGCTCTTATTGATGACCATCCATTTCTTTTCCGTAATGTACTACAATCACATACCCCTACGTTCCACACCAGAGACACATGGTATAACTTATTTTTACAATACTAGTGTTCAGTCACACACCAACCGTTGCTGTTCTTTTTTTATACAACCAGGGCCTTTGAGCTTGGGTTTCACAGCATTGCAATCAACACAGTATCTCAGAGCTGTAAACTAAGGGCTGCAAACTGTCTTCATATCCTCCGCCTGTTTGACTGGTTTTTGCTTTGCCACAATTCTGTGCTGTAAGGAGTTTACAAGTTCAAAGCTTAGGATGAAGAGGATTGTGGGCCAGTGGTAGCATCCGGGGGAAGGGAAGTTGTCAATGCGTGTGCAAATATTTTATATTGAACACCACACCCTTATATTTACATGTGTGTGCACATAAATATAGGTGACCTCTGTGTATATGTAGGCGCATACACAGGGTTGACTGTACTCATCTTCAACTTGTGGTCCTTTATGGTCCTAAGTCCATTTACTGAAAGTCACACAGTCCCTGGGAGGCCCACGCAGAAGAAGAACCCACAGCACGATCTCTCGTTGTTTTTCCCCTCCAATGCACTGCTGAGCGGCACCAGGAGTGTCTCCCTTCAGGAAGGGCCACCGAGATCCGATAAGCCCTGGCATTGTTATCCCCTCGGTGCAGATGGGAAACTGAGGCACAGAGGGCTTAAGCAACTTGGTGAGGTTTGGGCCGAGCTGAGTCCGTCCCCCAAGCGGATCATTTCAGCCGCGTGTGCCATCAAGCCACCTGTGACATAGTCCGTCCCCTCCTCCACCAGCCCAAGAGCCGGACACTAAATGTCGTTTCCCTCCACCAGGTTTCATCCCCCCTCCTCTGATCTTCGGGGCCGGCATCGACTCCACCTGCCTGTTCTGGAGCACCTTCTGCGGGGAGCAGGGCGCCTGCGCCCTGTACGACAATGTGGTCTACAGATACTTGTACGTGAGCATCGCCATTGCACTCAAATCCTTCGCCTTCATCCTCTACACCACCACGTGGCAGTGTCTGCGGAAAAACTATAAACGCTACATCAAAAACCACGAGGGCGGGCTGAGCACCAGTGAGTTCTTTGCCTCTACTCTGACCGTAGACAATCTGGGGAGGGACCCTGTGCCCGCAAACCAGACGCATAGGACAAAGTTTATCTATAACCTTGAAGATCATGAGTGGTGTGAGAACATGGAGTCCGTTTTATAGTGACGCGAGCAGCTCAGAACTCTGTGTGGTAATCAAAGGGTCATTTTTCCTACAAAAAGAAAACAAGTTTTCCAAAAACAACTACACACACACACACACACACACACACACACACACATCCTTTTTCTCCAAATCAGAGCCAGACGGGAGTCAGAATGAGGAGAGCATGGGACCAGTGTCTGGCGAGTGACCGACCCGCGGGGCTCAGAGCCTGGTCCTTGGAGCCACCGCACAGTGTTCCAGGACACTGACAGCTGCAAGCAACAGGCACTGCCAGGTTCAGGGAACAGTGGTGCCCACTTGGAGGACGGACATCTCCGAACACACATACAGCATACAGAACAACAGAACAGCCGTTCTCAGAGAGTCTACTAAAACACACGTTGACAGCATTGCAGGATGAGCACTAGTGACATACCCCGTGCCCCCCCTGTGGGGGGGGCAGGCAAGTCGGAGGAGGGAAGCCCGCTCCTCTCTCTAACTTTCGCAATATGGGTCACTGTGTAGACCCCTCACCCAGTCTGCATGTGGTTCCAGGCCCCCGAGTTCTCTCAGCGATGCTAATGGGTGATCCGTGCTGGAGTCTAAGTGGCACCTCTCACCAGCTCCATTTCCATGTTCAAGACCGAGGGCCCGAGGGGGAGCCGGGCGTGGGGGGCCAGCACCTCCCTTCCCCCAGCCCCGCAGAGTGACCTCAGGAAGCGGTGGGCCTCACCTGGCTATGACTGACCTCACTCAGAGCCGGTGAAACCCAACACAGCCCCCATTTGCTTACATTTGCCAAACATTTTGCCATTTTTTAAAAGAGGAAAAAAAAAAATGCAATGCATATGACTTTTCAACTGTTGTCTGTACAATCCTCTAATACTATTTTTAACTACATCGGAAATCGGTGTTAACCCTTCAGTCACTAACAGTTCTCTAGGCCGGATTTACTATGCTGGTTGCTTTTACTTTCTTCCTTTTTTTAATGCATCAAAAATATAATGTGATTCAAGGGATGAAATTCATCTATTGTAATTTTTTTCCTAATCATTTTATCCTTCGGACAGTCTGCAAAAGCAAGAATATACAGTGTGTTGCAAATAGGGGGGAAATGCTCCTGCCTTGGAAAAAACCACACTGGAGACAGGGAGGGCAATGGGATGAATTGCAAATCAAACGTACCTTCTGGGGTTCCTCCCGGGACGCACTGACCCGTCGCAGGAGGCCCCTTGATATGCATGCCTCATGTTCCAAGAGGTGTTCTTTCCGGCCTGAGGAGGAGACACGCGTGGATGTGGATCATGTGGGTCGTGTGCGTGGCTGCGATGCTTGTGGGGAGAGGATAGAGAGAGAGAAAGGCCTGTGATGTCTGATGAGGAATAAACCCACAGGCTCCTGGAGGCTACGGCATGTCCAGCGTGCAGGAGTCTCGGTGAGGTTTGCAGGGTCAGTCTTGAACTAAGAGGCCTGCGTGTGTGCACATGTGTGTGTGTGGAAAGTGACCGAACCTCATATGGCTAGAGAGCAACCCTGTCATTGTTTGGGGTGAGAATCATGAAAACCTGTGCAGCAGGAGACTCGGCCTGAGAAGGCTGTTTCCCAGGTTGCTGGGTCGGAACGCATGTCCACGTACACGCACACGCCACCCCGTTTACTTACCGCCACGCTTCCTCGGTGACCTTTGTCCCGGCTGACCATGAGTCTGGGGAGGACCTCCGTCCGGGTTGGTTCGGTTGCTTGGTCTGCTCTCCTGCCTCTGGTACGTAGCTGCTGTCACCCAAAAAGCAAAAGAAAGAAAGAATCAGAGAGAAGGGCGTTGTACCCAGTTTTTCACAAGCATTGTAAAAGGGGTGGCTTGAGTGGCAGCCTCAAAACAGAGACGCCCCACGGAGGAAGGACAGGCCAAAGAGAAGCTTGTGTGGCGGTGTGGGGTCGCCGGGATCAGCTCCCGGGGACGGGGTGCTTCCGAAACAGCACTTTGCCCTGTGCGTTGTAGTCAGTCCTTGTCACGGGAGTGGGCCTGTTCTCCGGCTAATTCAGGGATGCTGCCGCCACCCAGGCCTCCCTCCGTGTCACTGTGCGGGCTGAGGGCAGGTTGGGAAAACGCACTAACAGGTCCCCGCCCTCTTAGAGGTCACGGCAGAGCCCCCCAGACAACACACACACACCCCAGCGCCTCACGGAGCTGTTCGCTTTTCCTTGTACGTTTTGGAAAACGCGCATGTTGGACTTTTTCCTAAGATTTTGGGAAGAGGGAGTACAAGGTTGGAAGGGCCAAGGGAAACCACTCCAGAGCTCAGAGTTATCAGCAATGGGACAGACGTCAAGTCCCCTGGGCTGGGTGTGTCAGTCACCGTTCAAGTCCGCACACAGAACAGGGAACGGTACCCTCGTCATTGTTCCCCTTTGTGCTATGAGGAGCCGTTGTTCAGACCCCGCCAGACCCAGCTCTGGGTGATCTGTTTGGTTTGGGGTGGTATTCCGAATGAAGAGGTTTCCTGGTAAGATCTCCCCTGGACTTACAGAAAACAAAAACGTAAGAGACAGAATCGACCGAAGAAGTGGATGAGGTCCTCTCTCTACTACAGACTCCTCCAACACCTTAGACAAGCCCAGAGATGGACCATAGTCTCTTTCCTGCCCCTTTGGCCAGATTTTCCTGACTCCTGACTACAGACTGAGACATCGCTTTACCAGTGTGGCTCCTGCGTAGGAAGCGAGCGCATTTTGTGGGAGTCTCTCCCTCTCTCTCTGCCCCTCTGTCCCCCTCTCCCCTGCCCTTGGGGGTACTTGGCTTCTGTGGTCCTTCCAGGGAGACGAGCAGGTTTGCACCCCGCTTCCCACCTCACAGAGGAAGGCTGGGCTGCTCCAGGGCACCCCGGGGACTGTCACCCCAGAAGGCCACAGCATGCCAGCTTCCCTTGCAGCTAATGGAGGCAAGAGGGGCCTCTTCGTGGGCCCCAGGAGTCAGCTTAACTGCTTAACAAGCAAAATAATAAGGGGGAACCATAATAATGAGGAGCTTCTGAGGGGCCCTTTGACAGAGTCCCTACATCTTCTGAGCAGGAAGGAGTGTGATCTCCATAAAAATCGCTTCTCCCCCCCGCCCCCTTGCTGACGACAGCCAACCTAAGAGGGGGTTTCTGAGGGTTAGTCATTCACACATTCAAGCAGGTCACGTGTAGAAATCAAAGCAGCTGGTCGAAGTCAGGAGCAGAGGGGGAGGCGGGATGGACGTCCGTCCCGGTGGGTGGACTTAACACTTTATTGCTGTGGTTTGGTTTATTGGTTTGGTGGAGGTGAGGGAGAAAAGCCAGCATGTATATTCTCAGTCCGACAGACAGATTATTTGCTGCCTTGTACTGTTCCTGCCTGACTCGTGGCTGCTTGGGAAAACCAGGTATCTGGCGGGAAGCAAAAGGACCTATCAGACCCATAGCCCTGCCCTCGGCCACCTGCCCTCGGCCAGGACCAGCCAGAATCCAGGGCCAATGCCTCAGGGGAGCCATGATCCCTAAGAGGTTGCTCCTGACACCCAACGCGACCGAGAGAATTCGTTTGGGACGTAAATATTGTCCGGGCCCTTCTCGCTCAAGGGGCTCACCTCCCTAGCAGTCCGGGTCCCCGATCCTGCAGGGACTAACTGATCTCAGAACAGCGGGCCCTAAATGAAGCCTTCGGTCCCAGTCCGCCGGGACCACGGTGGCTCGAGATTAAATTGGTGGAACAGGATTCTGCCTGGTGGGCACGTTGCCCGGCGTAACCCGTGGAAGCGGCTGTGTGCACAGCGACCCCCACACCTCCCTGCTCACACTGGCAGGTGACCTCAGAGAGCTTGGTCGTCACAGCAGGGAGGACACGAGTCCTAAAAGCCTCAAGTGGGGACTCAGAAAAGCAAAGATTCCCCAGGCCCCAGAAATCTGTGACTACCGTGGGGACAGGGACAGACGCCCACTCAGCATCGGTGTGGTAGCACAACTTCCTTCGCGGGGTTCGCGTCATTTTGGGGTGCACTGTGGAAGCCTGAGGTTGTCTGCCGTGTAGGTGTTTCATTCATTTACGCAAGCGAGGCTCTCTGCCAGGCCCTGGACCAGATGCAAAGGTTTGAAAACAGTAACAGGGTCCTGACTTCCAGGAGGTCCCAGTTCAACGTGAGACCTGAACACAAACCAAAGCAATAGAATAATCATGCAGAGAGCCAGTCTGTCTGTCTGTCTGGGTGTGAGAAGGGCCGACTCCTGCTGGTGGTGAGTTCTGGCATGGGGCCAGAGCAGCCGGAAGGTCAGGGAGGGGAATCTAGACACCGGACCTGAAGCAGCGTGGGTGTCTGTCCCCCTCCGTGGGGCCAGGGGATGGACTGCCCGGGCTTTGAGAGCCGTGATGTCCTACCAGGAAAGGGGCCTTCGGCAGGGAGCACACCGGGCGTGGGCTGTCCCACACAGCTGTCTGCAGGGCGGAGGCTGTGTCTGGGCTGGAGCCAGGGTCCGAGGGCCCTCTGAGCTCGGGCGGCACCCCAGTCTGTGGCTCTAGCGGCTGTGGTCACGTGTTGGAAGTGTCCTCAGCCAGGGGACCAGTAACTCTGCAGCTCCTGACCCAGGAGGCTAGTTACGGTATCCCGTTTCCCAAGAATGAGGTAAGTAGCCCATCAGTGTCAGGGTGTGTCATCCTTTCGTAAGTGGTGGCGGCGGGCTGGGAGGGAACAGGTAGAAACCAGAGGCAGAGGAGTGAAGACAGACACTGAGAAGTATTTCGCCCCCTTCCTCCGTCCCTCCAGCACAAACACGGGCACCAACAGGCTGCCAGGTCCAGGCCAGGCGACATCATTGGTGAACACTGATAAGAATCACTGACATTTATCAAAGCACTGACTCGGAACCAGCTTCTTACCTATCTTAGCTCATTTAATCTCAGCAGTGGCCTCCTAGTCAGGAACTGGTATGAGCTTCCGTGTGTAAGACAGGAACATGAGACTTGAGAAGCTTCCAGAACCGGCTCATAGTCACAGCAGAGTAGGGATTCAAAGCTCACATTCTTAGCCTCATGGCTACTCACTCCCTACTCGGCAAGACAGAGGGACCGCTCGCCACCGTAGGGACTGACTGATCAGGAATCTGGCTGTAATGGGCTGGGGGGCCCCCACTTTCCCAGGCCCCCAGTGTAACCGTCGGGACCCAGCGACAGCTGTAGTCCAGGGATGGACCTTCCTTCCTGTGTTAGACCTGCTCTGACCCACAGAGCCCAGTGGTCAATGTATACAGGCTGATCCACCAGAAGCAGACAGGCAAGAGGAAGAACCGGGAGATGTCTCCACTCTGGTGCCTTCTGAACCACACTTCCAAAGCTTCAAGATGCAAGGGGTCACCCCTCTGCGCTGGCCATCAGCTCCAGGGCCGAGACCCCAGGCTCCTCTCCCGCCTGGTCACTGGGGTCCACAGCATCGACCTCAGGAGCTCGGCTCAGGCCCGGGGCCCTCAGACACACCGCGCTGGTCCCTGGTCGCATGTGTCTCTTATCAGACGCTAGGCTCTTAGAAACATTTAGAAACAGTTTCTAGACATTCCTATTTTTGCATTAATCTTTCGGGCCACCCGTGGATGACTGCCTGTGGAAGAAATACTCAGAATGTATGCTAAAGTGACCGCGTCCTTTTACAACGAGCAAACGGAAGCTTAACATTCTGTAGGTTGAGAGTCCACCATCCCGGGACATCCCCCCAAATTACGTGTCTCTTAAATTCAGGCTTTGTAGAAGTAGCTCTCACGAAGATACGGCCGTCCACACTTTTATTTTAGAATCTAAGCTCATCAAAGGGATCCCAAGTACGCAATGTAGGAGGTTCCGTTACAAGGGGAACACATCGAACATCGAACTCGAGTCCAACGTCTGCGGGGGGAAGGGGCTGGGGACCCAGGTCCGTACAGGCCAGGGGCCACAAGGTCACGCTTCAGCAGTGTCCTCCCACAACCCCACAAGGTAGGTGTCATTTTTCCCACGTTCTGGCTCTGAAAACAGGCTCAGGAGACCCAAGCATCCCCCGCGCCTAGTTAGAAAGTCCCCACCAGCCAGCGCCAGGTCTGCCTGGCTCTGGGACCCGTCACACGGTCCCCAAAGTGGGACACAGCTGCCTTCTTAGGACCTTTGA